TACACCCCCCACCAAGGCCTGTCCGCACGGAGCGGGGTACTGGGTCTCTGCAGGCATCAGGCAGCACAGAGCTGCCAGCGTAGTGAGGGGCAGCTGCCTTGAGCCCTTCTGCTTTTGCTGGTGTCTCGTGTCTGTGCATGTCTCTGTGCTGGTTTGGTGTCTCCTCACCACTGTCAGGGGAGTGTGTGGGAACCCTTGGGTGCAGGTGAAACGTGTTGGTGTCTGGTGGATGGAGGAACAAGGAGCAAGGAGGCATCCCGCTGTCGGCCAACTTCATCCTCTGCTGGATTTAAGGGTGTAGGAATAGGGAGGGGGAGGTTGTTGCCAGTCTAGAGAGTGGAGCCATTACATGGACAAGTGTTATGTGCACACAGCCCTGTGTGCCCAGTGACCACTCTGGGCAGATGACTTTCCTCAAGGAGGTGGCATTACCTTCACTGTGAGCCTGAAGTACATGCCACCAAACGTTACCAAGGATCAGCCGCGTGCTGTAAGTACATTCTCTTCCTCTACCTACCAGTCACTGGACAGCATGCCCATGCCTGCGCGGTACGTTGGGTGTGATGCTGTCCTCCATGGAGGCAACGACATCCTGCCCATCAAACAGGCTGTCCCAGCCCCACCCTTTGTTTGGGTGTATTGCAATTGTGTCTGGTGGCGAGCGAGCCTATCCATCACTGTATCCACACAGATCCCAATTACTCCTTTTGACAGCTCTTATTCACACACCTCCCTGTGCTTCTGACATCTCAATTATTGATGGGGCTCGCCTGGTAGGCAGCGCTCTGTTCTCAGCATGGCTACGTTCCAGCTCCCTTTCCCATCGAGTTCACACACAGACCATGCCGAGTGTTTCTTTATGTGCAAAGCTATTGAAGTGGAAAGGGATCTTTATTAGCATGTGAGCTCCAGGGCTGCGCTACCGAAGGGGGCAGTGCAAGCCAAATCGCATCGCAGTACGGCGCTGGGAAATTTTCTCTTCCCCTCCTCTCCCAGTGAAGCCCAGCAGCGTCTTGTAAACTGAAATGATCTCATATGTTTAATGCTGAAGATCCCTTGATATGATGAGCCTTCCTTGTGATGGGGTCACCCTGCACTTGCATTTCTGTAAGAAACCTCAGTGCCCCGTTGCCCCTGCAGGCATAAAATCTGGTATTTTGAAGAGCAGCGCCCTTTCCTTTGTCTTGATATTAGTTTGTTTGCTGGCTTTACAGCAAGCCTTTGCGTTCTGACAAGCAACACTGACACACAAAAAAAGGAGCTTCAAAGCAACATGCGGTGTTGGAGCAATGTTGTCAAATTGGGTAAGAGTTAAAGCTGTGCCAGAGGGAGGATTGCAAAAGCCTGCTTGTTTTGTAGGGCTTCGTGTATCTGGGAGGCTCTGGATGTCTCGTGACATTGCCGTAGCAGAAGTCAGATAGGAGGAATGATAAAGTGGTCGATCAGCTCCTCACATCTCTCCTGCCCCCAGCCTTGTCCTGCAACCTTCTTTAGTTTGGAAGTAACCAGAGATTTTGTGCTTAGTGAATGAAGGCAGAAGGAAAGGGCGGCTGCTGGAGAAGATGGGATGAGAGAGAAGCAGCAGTGTCGGGTGTGCAGAGAGCTGGGAAAGGACACTTGAGTTTTGTTCTCAGGGATCTGTGGCAGCAGGTGCCTCATAAGTTAGCTTTAGCATGAGAGGAAAACTCTGTGGAGCAGACCTTCCAAAGCACGAAGGTACCGGGGAGCATAAGTGCCTTTGCAGCTGAGCACGGCTGTGCAGAAGGGAGCATGGGTCTGAGGGTGGTCAGTGGAGCACTCCTGTGGCTCCAGCAGTGGAGAGGACCCAGCTACATGATATTGAGTGGGTGTGGACAACCTTTTCAAGCTTAGTAAGGATCTTACAGTCTCTGCATCCCAGTTTGTCTCCTGGCAGCGCTCAGCTAGTCCTTCACCCGCCTTACCCGCTCTCTTTCTGCCCCGTGACGAGTTCTGCCTGGGGGCTCCGTGCTCCCTGCAGAGACCAAATGCCACCGAATGAGCAAAGGCAGACACAGCGTTGCGGGTGGCTGCACAGCCAGAGCTTGGCTGTTCATTTGGGGTCTGTAAGGACTCCTGGCCTGGGTGACAATCACAGGTCCCCTCTTCCCCCTCCTGGCTGGCCATGACAGTGCATCAGCAGGGCAGATCTGCGGAAGAGCAGGGTTTTGTGCATCAGCAACAGCACGGCTGCCTTGAGCTGTGGTTGTTGGGACAGACCTTTAGTTACACATCTCTCAGTGTGACATCCTGACCCTGACATTTCTCTGAGTGAGGTCCTCTTGTTACTGTGGGTGACAGCAGCATCCTCGTGCCTGACAGTGTTGCCCCAGATGGTCAAGCCGTGTATAGTCCCCATTAAACAGGCCTTGCTGGCACTGGCGGGTAAGCAGAGATGGCTGAGCCTGCCAAACAGGGTGTGTTTTATTTGTCTGGAATACCATGAGCAGACACAGAAGGGTTAAAATAACAGAAAGTTGAAAACCTGTTATCTCCTGGAACTGTGATCTTTCCTTTTTGGGTAGGCGGGTTCCATGGGACCCCATCCCCCCAGATAGTGGAAAGGTCACCCTCCCATACCTGATTGCCCCACAGCTTTCCCCGGCAGCCTGTCCAAACAAAGCTGGTTTCCTTCCAAGCCCTTTTCCTTCCTTCCCTTCCTCTGGACTTGTCTACTTGCACAGAGCTGGCTCCAGCCCCGGGTAGTGCTGGGGCCCAGAGGCCAGGTGAGCTGTAACAAGAGATGCTCAGTTACAGCAAGCCTGAAGCCCACTTAGCCGAGAGCTGCAAACGAGAGACTCAGGCATTC